AGACCAGTCAACTGAAAGCTCCTAAAGCACCATGGTTCCTGCACTCAGTACAGGGCCAACAATGACCCATGCACTTTTCATTGTAGATGCTCCTGTTAGCTATGTCTTGACACACAGATCAATGTGGAAGGGAAGGTGAAGTGAAAGATATATTTCACTTGGGACTACCTCAACCAACCACAGAGGATAAGGGGAGAATTTTATCCTTCCTTGAATCCAAGAACTGTTATTATCCAGCAAAGGTTAGGAGATGGCTACTTGATATACAGAATGAATGATCTATCTGAGGACAGACCATAAACTTCATTTTCAGAAAAAGTGTCCAGATGGTCTCCTGGGTCATGAATGAACATGATGGGTTAAGAGTGAGAGACTGGACCTATAGGAATTTTCTGTGTCTCCCAAAAGAAGGGAAATTTGCAGTAAGATCTAACAGCCCTAAAAAAAAAAAAAAAAAAAAAAAAAAAAAAAAAAAAAAAAAAAAAAAAAAAAAAAAAAAAAAAAAAAAAAAAAAAAAAAAAGGAGAGAAAAAGACAAACTGAAATGGGATTCTCTCTTCAGTGATACTGCAAGACTCCTCTTATAGAAAATTTTGTAACAGGAGATTTTTTCTATATATGAGTTTCACTGATGGAAGCTATCAAATGGAAGCAGCTGACACATGTCCTGAGGCTCTGACAATCTCCCTGGCATGAGAAAGAGAAAATCAGCTGAGAAAGAAAAAGGGAGCCTTTTCTGAAATAACTGCTGCATGAGTAGATTAGATGTAGAGTTTGGGTGGGTTTTTTATCTTTTCTTCATCTCTGTGAAATCTTTTAAAAATATTTACATCTTGATTAGCAAGGATTTTATAAAGAAATATTTATCTTTCATTACAAACACATCTATATTATAAATTAAACATATTTGTTATGAATATATATTTTTCCTTTTATCTTAGTGCAATTCTAGGTAAGATGATAGCAGAAAGACATTCCTCACCTAAGGCGAATTTTACATCCTTAACAAATGGATGAGTGTGCAAGACGGGTGGGGGGCTGATAGAGCAAAAGTAAGAGGAGATTTATTTAATTGAAGGATATACTAAACTAATAAAAATGCCTCAAACCTCTCATATTTTAAGCCCAGGATCCAACTACCCACAAATCCAATAGACTGGCACATGCTATCTTGAACATCTGATCAAAAACAAATCTCACATGTAATTCTGCACTGATCTCAAACCTGAAAAAGAGACAGAGCATCCATCAGGCTTGGCATGAGACCAAAACCCTGGTGCAAAGGAAAGCTCAGAGACCTGCAGGAGAAAGGATAATCAATAGAAGCTTGTGTTGCCATGCTACCAGCTTTATGGTAATGATGCTGTAGGATGCTCAGGTGGAGGAGTGGCACTGTGCAGGAGGGACTACATAACTCACAACACTGTAAAAATATTGTGGCTAAAGGGAAGCACAACAGTGTTCTTGTAGGCAGATTCTAATAATACAAATATGCTACTAGGAATGCACTACCGAGCTCCTTACCACCTTATGACAGTTGCCAGAGCACATTAAGTAAGGATAAGAAGATAGAAAGCAGGTAGCAATGGAAGGAGGTTTGGAGCGTTGTTATAAAGATGCAATGCTGCAGCAGGATGAGATGTTATGTCCATAAGCAATGACTTCCTGATTCCTAGAATAATTAGACCTGAAAATAAAAATCCACAACACAAGATGACATTCTACCTTGGTATTCTACCTCTACAAGATGCCATCTGATCTTTAGTGCTGCACAGGTTTTGGTGGAGGTAGGTCTGTACTGTTAATCACAGTACAGCTGGGCTCAGCAGCACTGTGGGACAGAGAAGCAGTCCCAGAAGGAAGAAGCCTACATAAATTTGGGGGCTGTGAAAACAAACAGGAAATTCAACAAGCCTACATTCCAAAATAAATAGGCATTTTAGGAAATATTGAGTCAAATGTCTATCAGTAAAATAGTTACCAAGACTACTCAAAGGAAAAGATCTCCATTTGGAAAACAGAAGTCTTGTCAATATGGGGAGAACAGGAAAGTCTGCATCATGACAGATCAAATGTGGAGAGGAAACAAGGAGCATTAAAGAAAAAAAAAATACTGAAGGGCTTCTGGTAAAGGATGTTCTGGGTTGACAGTAAGTTTTGTAAACCTACTGAAAGATGAAAAAAACACTTGGGAACTAGCAGGGGAGTTTGGTGGCAAAAGATCTCTTAGAAACTAAGTCATAGCAGGAATACTCAGGGAATTCACTCTTCCCAACCAACGATGTTGGGATATTTTCAGGGCTGGTGCAGTAAAAAGGACAGAGGAGCCAGCTCCACTCAAGAGATGTGGGCAGGAAGTATTAAACCAACTAGATAAGTGAGAGTCCAAAAAGTAATTGAGACCAGATGGCACTCATATCAGTATCCCAAAGGATCTCAACTGTGAGACTGCCAGCCAAGGCACGTAACCCACCATTGCAATCAGGCACTGTGCCAGGGGACTGATGTGTCATCAGTGCAGCTCTCATTTACCAGAAAGGCTTGATAAGGCTGCTCAAAGCTCGTCATCAGTCCTAGGAGCTACTGACCACTAGGACCGATTTCCGCCTCTGGGACATTTTGGGGGCATCTGTAATGAAGAATGAAGGCACTGAGCTCATTGCAATGCCAGTCTGCTGAGAAAAAGTCATTATGTTTTCTGAAAAGGGAGATCTTGTTTGGCTTACCCACTGCAGAGCTGTGATGACAATGGATGAAGGAGACCCAGTGGTCGTTTGATATATATATATATATATATACATATATACACATACACATACACACACACACACACACACACACACATATATATATATACACACACATATATATATATAGCCAAGGCAGATTTTCTTCTCTACTTCACTCTTGTGAGACCCCACCTGAGCACTGCATTCAGCTCTGAAACCTTGACATAAGAACATCATGGAGATGGCCCAGGGCAGAACCATGCAAATGGCTAGAGGGCTGGAGCACATCTTCTGTGAAGACAGGATGAGACAGATGGGGCTGTTCATCCTGGAGAAGAGAAGACCCCAGAGAGAACTTAAAGCATGTTCCAGTACATGAAGGGGCCCTACACCAGAGTTTCAGAGAGATTTTTCACAAGGGCATGTGGCAATAGGACAAAGGGGAATGGAATCCCTGGCAGAGTTCAAGGCCAAGTTGGATGGGGTTTAAGCAATCTGGTCTAGTGGAAGGTGTCCCTACCCATGGCAGGAGGCTTCAAATGAGATGATCTCTAAAATCCCTTCCCACTCAAACCATTCTATGATTCTGTGATACGTGTGTATTTAGAATTGCATTTGTCAAAGCCTTCGACATAGCTCTGCAACAAAGTACCTTTCTTAAGTTTCTTAAGTATCAAAGTTGCCAGACAGCTGGAAGGCACATTCATTTGTGGGCTGAAAGCCTGGCTGAAGTGTAGGAAGCAAAGTGGGAGCTCAATAAATAAGCAATGGAGTCCTCTAGGGTTTGGCACTCAGATTAGATTTATCCAGTGTCTCTATCAACAGTCTGGAAATGACAATTCTCCATGCTAGCAGATACCATGTTGATAGGGTGTCAGATGAGAATTAGTATATTTGAATGTAAGGTGATGCATACTGTGGAAAAGTGGAAAAACAATCTAAATTGTGCCTAATTACATGAATTTTAAACTGGCTGTTGCATTCAGGAAAGGGCACTTGGCACTGGCATCATTGACCATTTGCTGAAGTCAGTTCTGCATTGGCTACAACAGCAGAAGAACCAAAATTGTCAGCAAAAGGAGGAGTACCATCCAGTAGGGTATCACCTTGTATAAAATATTGATGCATTCCCATAGTGGACAGTGCTTGTCTCTACACTGAAAACAGAAATTATGGAGCTCGAGAACATGCAGAGAAAGGCAAGTAAAGTAGTCAGCAGCCCTGGACTACCCCTGTTCTTACATAGGGCAGTCAATCAAGTCATATGGTATCTCAGCAGAGAATGGGATGGATTTCTGTGCCATGCCTGGACAGAAGGACACAGTCCTTTTGAAGATATGTGGTGGAGGGGTGCTGCTGCTGAAGGGCTAAATATGAAACCCCCCCTGTCTCTAAAGGTGTAAACAAACTCTCCATTTCCAAACTGTTGAGCTGAGATCTGCTGCTCTAAAACACTGCATTCACTATAACATGAATAATGACAAAACAACTTCATTTTAATAAGATGTTCTCCATATGCAAAGTTAAATAGGGAAATCAGGCTGTTCCATCAAAATATATTACTTTGCTATGTAAAGTGAGAAGTAGTTAGAACCTCTTGTATGATCTTTGCATCTATCATGGTAACCTTTTGTCTAAAGAGAACCCCAGACACTCGAATCTGTTTTTTATTTCCCAAATAGGAAGGCAATTATAATATTGCTGCCATAGAGGAGATCATTTGCATTTGCTACTGCACTTCCAAGAGAAACAGAAGTTCTCATGTTTTTTTAAAGTTCCCACTGGCTTTTTTGCTTTTTTGCTTATTCACTTTGTGTTTCAGGAGCAGCATTACCAAGAATAAATGAAAAATATTGCAATATTTTGAATCAACACTAAGTTCATCAAAACATGGCATATTATTCACCTTTCTAAATGCAGAATAATGAACAAAACCCCAAGAGTCTGACATTTAACACCTTTTATTTTTAAAGTTCACCATAAGCCAAATACATGTTTTTTTATCTAGTTAAAAAACAAGGCTCAATTGATCAGATCCACAACTTCATTGTTATCTTCCATCTGGCAAACAATCCTAGTTACATAAATCTACCCTTTTTTCTGCCAAAAAAATTTCTCAACACTAGCTTTGTCATAGAGAAATTTGGTCAGCTATCACTGTTTCTGGCAAGTAATACCTTAACTGCAAATAATGAGAAAGAAAAGTATGTTGTATTTTAATAATTGCAACCATTTTATCTACAGCAGAGAAAGTAAACAAATCTTGTCTTACCTCAGCTCATGGGCCTTCTGGTGTGCTCAGTATTTCCTTCTTCTGCTTGCTGTTGCTCAGACTGCAGGATTTTCAATGAAAAGAAAACCCGCAAGAACTTGATGCAAAATCCAAGTGCTACTAATGTAGAAGCCAAAGAAAAACCACAAACAGGGAAGTAACTCCTGATATAAATTTCTTACATATTCTTAAAAGAGAAGTATTCTCAGCTTAAGGAGTGGTGCTAGCAATCACAGGGTGTCTTTCATTATTTTCACCCAATGAAAGAGGTTTTACAGCTACATGGAATGTTGTGAAGCATTCTGAATTTCTGTGTTTGGTCCCACACTTCTATATATGTGCTTTCATTAGTCAGAGTTGCCCAAAATATTAGTGGGATTGCCCAAATAATCTTCCCATGAATCATTAAATATGTTCTTGGAATTAGGGAGAGGATATTTGGTTTTGTTTACTTCCCAGAAAACACATAAATAACAAAATTGTTAACAGGCTCCTGGGATTTGGCGCATAATCTCATTCAACTCGTAATTCAAGGCTGAGTTAACAAGCTGAGGGACTACTTTTCCTTGAATTTTTACAGGAACAGATAGAGCTCTTTAGGCCATGAGCAAATGGCTGCAGTGAATGCCTTACCCCCTCTTAAGCTTCACTACTTCTTGGTGGAGCAATGCTGACTGCACAGATGGGTGCTCTGATCCCACTGCTGTTGTAAAATACGTTTCTATACACACTGTAGATGTAAGAGCTTCATTATTTCTGTTCTTGTATGTGCTGTCAGCACGTGCAGGTGGACCAGACATATCCAAGTGCTTTCTGGTTGCTGTGTGGTATTTCATATTGGCAGCAGGTCAGGAGTCCACAAAGGGCTGCTTAGCACAGCAGATGAAATCTCCAAAAAAACCCAACCTTCTTGCCATCCACACTTGTAGTTATCTATACTGCAAAGTGCTTTGGATAAGGACTGTAATTTCTCCTCTAATTAACATTTGTACATGTCAACTTGAGAACAGCCAAAGTAGTCCTTTGGGTGTGCTCCTCATGTGGGGTCATGGTGGCAATGTGCAGTAGTTGCAAAGACTTGTGTCACCAGAGCTTACAAATCCCTACACTCACAAACAGCTCTGTGGGTCCTCTTTTTTACCATGGGGCTGAAAAAGGACATAGAAAACCAGCTTAGCTAAGAGCTAGACTAATTCTTTTGGTCTCCAAGGTGGGCACAAAAGGTGGTTTTTGATACTCGCCTTTATTTGAGGTGAGAGAGCAAAGTCAACTTAAAAAGCTTCCTGACGGAGATCCACATGAAGTGGATTTTCAAGGTGCAGCATGACAATGAATTAGGACCCTCTTTAAACCGCTGTTTGCCTACTCTTGTGACACCCAAGCCCATGGATAAGTGTCCTCTTCCAGCTGTGGTTGTGCTGGCTGCTTTGGTTGCTGTCCCAGCTGTTTCCCTGTCTGCCAAGGTCTGTCTGCAGAGTGGCTCCTGGGTGCTCCCTAACCCCACAGAGTCGTTGAGGCAGGTATTGTAGACACCTGAAACACCTGGGTGATGTATCTTCTCACCCAGGTCACATAGACTAAAGCAGGGTGGAAATGATCCTGTCAGCATCTTTGTGGAGAGTCCTTTGGGAAAGAGACAAGACATGCATCAGGGATTGAGGCCACATCAGCCAGTGAGACCAGTGCCAAAAGGCAGCTCTGGCCGCAGTCTTCACTTGGGCAATGCCCCAGTAACTCAGACCGCATCTTTTCTGCAACTGGCAGAGACTAAATTAGGCATTGCAGTAGCAGTCTGATGACATCCCCATCACAAGGCATGTGGCGATAATCACTTTGGGACTGATAAGCAGGCTGTTCTCAGATACAGAATCAGAGACTGAAACATGCAGAAAAGTTAATACATTGATCACATTTTATTTTCCTGAGATATTTTGAGAACAACTTTTTCACCATGTGATATGACTATCTTCATTGCCTGGGTAATTTCCCATATTCACCTTCTTAAACACCCTGCTTTCTGGAGAGTACTGCTTCCTCCCTTTTATAAAGTAACTCTGTGTTTTGCTTTAAGCCTGGCTTTGAATAAATGAGGTTGGCTGCCAACTCACCCTGCACCTGATGAGCTAGATCCGGAGTGACTGCTTGGAATTTTTTAGAAACATTCACTGTATGACTCAGCTTCCGAGGGGAGTTTATTACATTTCTTACTAATAAAAACTTCAGTAATTCTGGAGAAGACATATCAGAATATCATGAAGAATCAAAGACTTGCATCACAAGATGCTGCGTGTATATCACATACTTAACAGGAGCCTAGACTATTTCTGAATTTTGAGTCCCTAAAATGCATAGATGTTTGAGGGCACAGCAGAGTGCAAACCACCCTTCTGGACTGCAGTCTCCATCATGCCTCTGTCTCTGTTTCCTTTTGCAATTCTGGCTCCACAATAGTCCAGTTTCAAGACAGAAATGCAAGAGGGGGTTAGTCACCCTATTCCTTCCCCTTGTTCATAAAAATACATGTCCTCCAGCCCTGCACAGAGGTACTGCCCACAGGGGAGGGCCCCAAATGAGTGAAGAAGACAGATTTTGGGTCTGAAATAAGTACTCTGGACTCAGTAGAAGCAAAAACTTGGATTCTCCTTCACCTTTGCAAAGTTTTCTATAGGCTAGCTCAAGTGTCCCTGTGGGCTGAGCACTATCTGCTGGAGTCAAGGAGCCTGTGCACCATGCTCCCTCTATAGGACACCTTGGACATGCCAAATACACATCAAGCCATCATGTGCTCCATAGGCCAGGCTTACCCCTCCAGCCACCCCAAAGTCAGGTGAGGTGCTGTCTCAGAATGGTCATCCCTACCCCCTTTTCTGGTGCATCCCTCCAGCACTGCAGTCTCACTGGCCAGCTGTCACCTGATTCACACCTTAGCAGAGGTGCTGAGAGCACCTGAAACCCACGTGGGTCTTGCTGAATGCACAAAGCCCAGAAGAGTCCTAAAAGCTTATCAGCTCACAGAGCATGGACAGCCTTGTGCAGCAGCTCCAGCATCTCAGCTTCCCGGAGGCACAAGGACTGTGCATGGGAGACGCGGCAATCCCCAGCACCAGGAGAGCTGGGTGAGATACCAGGTCTCCCAGGCAACCCAGGTAAAGGAGCCTGCATGTTTTTCCAGTTGTTCAGTCAATGTTTTGCTGTCTGGAGGCACAAAATTCTAGTGGCAGAGTTTCACTTTTTTTCATGCCAAAAGATTCTTGGTAAAAATGGATCTGTCAAAAAACCAGAAGGGATTACCTCCATTGAAGATTTTAGCACTGCATGACTTCAACACGGCAGCTTAGCCTACTAACACATATCTATTTCCAGAGACCAAAATTACAAGCCTACATTCATTTTCTGTGCAATCCAGAAAAAAAAAAACAGCATCCAATGTTTGTAGCTCATCTGCTGTCAGCCATAAGGCTGGATGGATGGGAAGACAAAAGTGACAGCTGCATGAAGAAAGGGGAAAAAGCAGGGGCAATTTTAAAAGGAGTTTTACAGAAATGAAAAACACAGACGGTTTTCAAGCTGTTTCTTTTGCAACATTAGTAATGACATCTTTTTTAATTGCCTGTGGTCCTTTCTTATTTATTTGCAGCTCCTCATTAAAATACTGTTGAGTGTGGAGGAGCATTAATATATAGCTGGAATGGAAAAAGACATATAATGTTGTCTTTAAATAAAATAAACTGTTCTTTTTTAACTATGAAGCACTAAAACTGGTAATGTTTTTGCCAGCTCCTTCAAAGGTGGCTGTGGGCCTTGGGAAAAATTTATTGTCTCTAGAAGCTGTGTAGCTGATGGCAGCTGGGAGCATTAATGCTCTTCCCAGAGAAAAATCAATCCAATTCTTGATTCTAAAAGACTGGACTGGAGCAGGACAAAACACCAAACACCTTCTGAGGCCTTCTTCTAAAATCCATTGAAGTCACTGGAAAGAATAGAGACTTTTGGGCTTAAAACCTAAGACAGGCAGACTCAGAAACTGTGAGATTAAAAAAAACACCTCTTTTTCTTTTTTTCTCCAGCTAGCTAAAAGCATTTCAGATCGAACATGTGCAAGCTTCTCAGCATGTCAGGTATATTCTGTCTTTTCCATGTACCTCTCAAAACCTTTCTGCAGTCATTTCTCTACCTACCAATCACCATGATGCTGAAATTCCTTTCTGCTTATGTTATTATTTCTGGTTTGCATGTTAGACATTGCAAGAAGGATAATGAAAGTGTGGAATTTGAAGGATTTGGCAATGAATCTAGTTACCTCTCTCCTAAGATTTGGTCTCCCAAAAGTTGTTATTTGTATATGTTGGCACATGCATGCATGCACGCACACAGTGCTGTGTTTTGGTCTCTGTTTACTACATATTAAATGTTCTGTGAATCCTGAGAATTCTGCTGAACTCTCCTTCTTCACAAATATAGAAACTCAAAGCAAAACAAGCTGCCTTTTTGATCTTTTTCTCATAATATCCCTGACCCAAGAGCTGGATAAAATCCAACCACAACATTCTAAAATCAGAATGACCAGATGTAGATGCTCTACTTCTTCTATCCAATGTCCAAGCACCACTATAAGATACAACCTGCAAATCCTTCCACATAACCCTCTACCACCAAATCCACTTTCATATCAATGTACTCATTAATGATAGTCACCAAAAACTTTATGAGAGACCACAATGTCCCTCTCTGTACAGTGTCCCCTAATCTTTTAATCTGAGACTGATGGGTCTTGCCTGCCAGAGGTCCCTCTCTCTGGGCATGTGGGAAATTCTTCCTCCAGGCATTGGCTGCTGCCAACATAAAGCATGTTTAAATTTTTGTCCTCAGTCTGGATTTTAATAATGTTCCTTCAGATAAAACTCAAATGGGATTAGATCTCAGTAGATGTATTTTCGATTCTAGTGACTTTGGAAGATGGTTTATTGTGTGCTGTTTGTTTGATGTTTTTTAAACTGTATTTTCTAACACTATATAAAATTATCTATAGATGTGATTTTGAAAAAAATCATAACATGACCTTTTGTCC